ATTATGTCCTTCCTGTGATATCACATCTACTCTACAACGTCATATCCTCCCCTGTGACATCACATTGTCCCTGTGACATCACATCTCACCATGACATCACAGCTCCCTGTGACATCACAGCTGATGTCACATCCATCATATGACATCACAGCTCTCCTGTGATATCATATAACCCGTGACATCACATCCTTCCTGTGACATCAAGCCTCCTCTCTAACGTCACATACATCATATGACATCTCACCAGTGATATCATATCATCGATGTGACATCACAGCTCCCCTGTAACATCACATCCTTCCTGTGACATCAGATCTCCCCTATGACGTCACATCCTTTCTGTGACATCACACCTCTCCTGTGATATCAAATCATCCGTGTGACATCACATCTCCTGTATGACATCACACCTCTCCATGGCATCACAGCTCCCCTGTGACATCACATCCATCATATGACATTACATCTCTCCTGTGAAATCATATAATCCCTGTGACGTCACGTCCTCCCCTGTGACATAACATCTCTCCTATGATGTCACATGTCCCCTATGACATCACATCATTCATGTGACATCACATCTCTATGACATCACATCCATCTTATGACAGCACATCGCTCCTGTGATATCATATTATCCCTGTGACATCACGTCCTCCCCTGTGACATCACATCATCCCTGTGACATCACATCTCCTTATGACATCTCTCCTTCCCATGACATCACAGCTCTCCTATGACATCACATACTTTCTGTGACATCACATCTCTCCTGTGATATCATAACATCCCTGTGACATCCTGTGATCGCCTGTGACATCACATCTTTCTTGTGACATAACATCTTCCCTATGACGTAACATCCATCATATGACATCACATCTCTCCTGTGATATCATATCATCCCTGCGACATCACGTCCTCCCCTCTGACATTACATCACCCTTGTGACATCACATCCTTCCTGTGGCATCCAATCTCCTCTATGACATCACATCCATCATATGACATCACATCTCCCCTGTGACATCACATCCACTGACATCCAGATCCATCCCAAGGTTGG